AATAATTAAAGGGTAATAGGTTAGTAGAGGTATACTACTTACTTATCTACACTACTTACTTATTAACTATATTATATCTTTTTTTAGTAATTACTAAAAGAACTATTATCTTATTTACTTTTTTATCTTATATATTCTTTAATATTTTATTATAAAGTTATTATAATATAATTATAAGATTTTTACTTATATCTTTATAAGTATATATACCTTATTATTTTTATATATAAATTAGTTATTACTAATAGTCTAATATCCTTTTTATATAATTACTATATTTTCTTTACTTTTTTATATTTTACCTTATATTATCCTTATAAAGGTATCTCCTTATTAATATTCTTTTATTTTATTTACTAAAGGTATCTTAAGGTCCTTTTTAACTATACTCTCTTCTTTACTTCCCCCTTCTTATAATTTCTTTATTACCTCCTCTTATAGTCTTACTATTATCTTTACTAGTCTAGTTTATAGTAACCTCTTTTCCTTACTATCTTCCCTCTTATAAAAGTACTATAAAAACCTTAAGATTATATTACTTTTTTATATTTTTACTTTTTTATTATTATTATAATTCTCTTTTTATAATAATATATTAATTAGGTTTACTTTTTTAGATCTAAAGGTAATCTTAAAGTTAAATAATAATAACTTATCTAATATAACTACTTATTAATAAGTTAAGTTCTTTTTCTTTACTAGGTAGTTATAATTTAGGTAATTTATTATAATATTAATAGTTTAGGCTAGGTATATTAAGTAATATCTTTATTATTAAAAAGTAATTAAAATTATAAATATTTTTATATTTAGTATTTAATATCTTAATTTTATATTATAAAGTTTTTATAATAAAAATACTATAAGGTACTAATATCTTCTTTATAATTATAATAAAACTATCTTAATTATAAAGTCTAATATATTTATCTTTATTTAGGTTAATATCTTAAGATTAAACTATATTAATATTAGTATCTTATTAAATACTATCTTTAGCTTTAAAAATACTTTAAGTTCTTTAGTATTTAGTTAAAACCTTGTTATTATATTTTCTTTTATTTTCTTTATTAATAATAATATAATCTTACTAAAGTTCTTAATAAATCTTTAGTAAAATCTTATAAACCTAAAAAATAACTAAACCTCCTTTATATTACTAGACTTTAACTAGCTTACTATAGCTTTAATATATTCTTAATTTATAGTAATTTTTTTTAGTTTTATTATAAACCTTAAGAATTTTATAATTAATACTTTAAATTTATATTTCTTAATATTAAGATATAGTTTAACTTTTTCTAGCCTTACTAATACTTATTAAATATATTATATATATTTTATAATATCTTTATTAAAAACTAAGATATTATCTAAATATATAATATAAATATAGTTAATTTCTTTATATAATATATAGTTAATATATTCTTAAAATAATATTAGTACCTTTATTAGTCTAAATAATAAGACTATATATTTAAAATATTTATAATAATAATAGAATATTATTTTTTACTTATTACTTTTATAAATATATAACTACTTATATATATCTTTTATATTTAACTTTATATAAATCCTTATCTTTTTAACTTAGTCTAAGATCTTTATAATTAGTAATAATAATACTTAGTTCTTATAAGTTATCTAGTTTAATCTTTTATAATTAATATATAAATATAACTTCTCTTTTTCTTTAATATAAAAAATATA